AACCAAAGTTAAAGAGGCTTTAAAGAAAATGAATTATGGAAAAGTTGTTGGACCTGATGATATTCTAATCGGTGTGTAAATGCTTAGGTGATGAAGGAATTTCTGGTTTGCTAAACTTTTTAATATTAGTTTGACTACTAAAAAGATGCCAGATGAGTAGAGAATGAGTGTGTTTATTCTTATTTTTAAGAATAAAGGTAATGCACAAGATTGTGCAAATTATAGAGGATTTAAGTTAATGTGTCATACTTTAAAAAACTATGGGAAAGAGTTGTGGAGCATGTGTTGCGGCGTGACACTAATGTTTCTCAAAATCAATCTAGATTCATGCCAGGTAGGTTTACTATGAAAGCTATACATTTATTGAGAGGTTTGATGGAGAAGTATAGAGAGAATAAGGAGGATTTACATATGATTTTTATTGATTTAAAGAAAGCATATGATAAAGTTCCAAGAGAAGTGCTACGGAGAGTTCTACATAAGAAAGGGGTTAATAATGCTTATATTCAATTCATTAAGGATGCGTATGCAGCAGTTATTACCTGTGTTCACACAGAAGGTAGTTTGACAAGTATTTTGCTATTTTAGTTGGATTACACCAAGGATCAGCCTTAAGATAGTAGTGAGACCTGCAATGCTTTATGGTGCAGAATATTAGCTATTAAAAGAGAAGCATGATATTAAGTTAAGTGTTCCATAGATGAGGATGCTCAGGCGAATGAGTGGCTTTAATCTTAGAGATAGGATACAAAATGAGCATATACGTGAAAAGGTTGGAGTAGCTCCAGTGGAAGATAAGATTAGAGAGAGTCGCCTTGGATGGTTTGGTGAAAGTAAATGTATTAGATTTGACTTATGCTAAGAAAAGTAGAGGTAGACTTAAAAATACTTGATTAGAAAATATTAGAAATGACATTTCTTTATTAGAATTAGATGAAAATTTGATTCTTAATAGGACACAATGGAGAAAAAATGATTCATGTAGGCGATCCCACATAGTGGGATAAAGGCTTGTTGTTGTTGTCATCATCGTCGTCTTACAATATATGGTTTCATTGTTATTTATGGGACTTGCATCATGAGGAATTTTAAGAATCATAGAATAATAAAATAAATTAAATTTTTTGAAGTTATTTAAAAAAAAAAACTTAATTACACGAGTTTATACATTTTGCCTTTTCACTTTCAACTCCTCATATTTAGAGTCTTCATGCTGTAGGTACAAATGTCTCTTTATTTCTCACAGCATGCTATAATCATGGGTTCATTTCTAATTTTTTTCTCTCTACTCATTTGTTGGTCCACTTTCTCTCTCCTCCAAATATGGATGTGAGGTCAAATAGTCAAAGAAGGTTTATTGACATGACATCCATGTCATCAAGCATGAAATTTATATAATCGGTATGAAAATTCATGCAAAAGATAAATAATGCATTAAAAATTTCAACTTGTTTTCTCCATAAATACAAGATAAATTAGGATGATAAGTGTCTAAAAATAAGTTTTTTATTTAAGCAATGCTATAGATTATTATTATTTTCTTATCATAGCTCTTGTGATTGCTATCGGCATATGTGGTATAGATGTTGGTGATTTTGTATTAACTGATCTTGTTAAGCAACTTGGGCTTGACTTGGTGTATATTTACGGCCAAAGTTTTTCAAGGCAATGGGTTAAATTAAGTTGTAACATTGACGTTTTTGATAAATATGATCAATATTAAGTTAGCCTTGACTTAGCTTTTTAGTTTGATGTTTATTATTTTTAAAGAAAAATTAGTGAATGTTTTCATATTTGTGGCCAATTTAAGAGCTGTAGAGGGCATATTTGCATATTTGTAATATATATTTAATATATGTTAAAATAAAAAAAAAAGCCATAATCTTATTCATTTACTCTATTCTTCTATCCCATCGCTTATAAAAAAGTCGCATAAGTCTTCATGTAGCTGTTTGATTGCAATACTTTCTCATCACGTTGAATAATGTACATGAGTACTTAAATTTGAATTTCTCAATTGTACTAGGAACGGCACACACAATGCTTACCTGTTGAGCTTTGCCTACAAGTTTCCCTTATTGTGCTAAGAAAAACGTGCATAGATTTTGCTTGTCATGCCAAACTCGCTGTAATCGGGATTTTGAGAGTTTGGGAGTTTGTACCTTTGCACATAGGATGATGGCGACATTTACGAGGTGAGGTGAATTTGCGTGGACGAAATGACATTTTTTGTTGAAATCTCTTCTTTTATGAATTTTCTTTTCTTTTCGTTTTTAATTTTTTCATCTTTTTTTCATTTTTTATTTACGGTTTCTTTCTTTTCCTCATCTATTTTTTGCTTGTTTTTTGTAAGTGTGAAGGAGAGAGAGAGAGGAGAGAGAAAATGAGAGGGAGGGATATAATTCAAGAGAGAAAGAGGGAGTTTGGGAGCTAGAGAGAGGAAGTTAGAGAGAGAGAAAGGGAGAGAGGGAAATAGAGTGAGCTTGAGAGGTATGGAGGAGATAGAGAGAGAGGTGAGGGCTTCTCTGCTTAGAGAGAGAAAGAGGGAGGAGGAAGAGTAAAAGCTAGAGGGAGAGAGTGAGGTGAGGAATGGAAAGAAAGAGAGTTAGAGAGAGGTGGTTGCTTGTGGTTTGCTGGCATGAGGGAGAGGAGGGGTGAGGGTTTGGAAACGTTGGGAGAGAGGTTGCCAGAGTTGATTGTTGTGGTGTTCAAAGTTGGGGGTGTTCAGATCGAGCTTCTTATCGAGCTTAATGCCGATCTTGTTCACGAACTTCAAATGATGTTGTTCGCAAACATAAATGAGCCGAACACATTAGTGTTCAAGTTTGTTTATTTAAGAATCGAGTATTTAAAATATTGTTCAAGTTTGTTTGTTTAGCTAATTAAACGATAAAAAACGAGCTTTAATCGAACCGAACAACGAGTAGCTCTTCGAACGTTTGGTTCGCTTGCAGCCCTACTTTATTTAATGCACATAGTTGTCATATATGTAGTTAAAATATAATGTGATGGATAGTCTCAACAGAGGAATGTAAGAACAACCAGAAATATTGAGATATAATATTTGGATGCCTAGACATAGGATGCCAAACGTTCTATGTTCTTAAAGAAATATTATAATCGTAGGAGGTCAGCATATATCATTTTCACCCTACAAGCTCAACAAAGATTTAGGGATGCTTATGCTCTGAATCACATTACCTTGAAGAGTCTCATTAGGAAATATACACAATTTATACTCATCAATTCAAACCATTTTAATTAAATATTGTATCAAATATTTTACTATTTATTCAGTGATAGAATCTCCAAAAATATATTTTTTTTAAAGTAGGATAACTATTGACGTTTTTGATAAATATGATCAATATTAAGTTAGCCTTGACTTAGCTTTTTAGTTTGATGTTTTTGATTATTTTTAAAGAAAAATTAGTGAATGTTTTCATATTTGTGGCCAATTTAAGAGCAGTAGAGGAGCATATTTGCATATTTGTAATATATATTTAATATATGTTAAAATAAAAAAAAGCCATAATCTTATTCATTTACTCTATTCTTCTATCCCATCGCGCTTAAAAAACTCGCATAAGTCTTCATGTAGCTGTTTGATTGCAAGACTTTCTCATCACGTTGAATAATGTACATGAGTACTTAAATTTGAATTTCTCAATTGTACTAGGAATGGCACGCACAATGCTTACCTGTTGAGCTTTGCCTACAAGTTTCCCTTATTGTGCTAAGAAAAACGTGCATAGATTTTGATTGTCATGCCAAACTCGCTGTAATCGGGATTTTGAGAGTTTGGGAGTTTGTACCTTCGCACATAGGATGATGGCGACATTTATGAGGTGAGGTGAATTTGCGTGGACGAAATGACATTTTTTGTTGAAATCTCTTCTTTTATGAATTTTCTTTTCTTTTAGTTTTTAAATTTTTCATTTTTTATTTACGGTTTCTTTCTTTTCCTCATCTATTTTTTGCTTGTTTTTTGTAAGTGTGAAGGAGAGAGAGAGAGGAGAGAGAAAATGAGAGGGAGGGATATAATTCAAGAGAGAAAGAGGGAGTTTGGGAGCTAGAGAGAGGAAGTTAGAGAGAGAGAAAGGGAGAGAGGGAAATAGAGTGAGCTTGAGAGGTATGGAGGAGATAGAGAGAGAGGTGAGGGCTTCTCTGCTTAGAGAGAGAAAGAGGGAGGAGGAAGAGTAAAAGCTAGAGGGAGAGAGTGAGGTGAGGAATGGAAAGAAAGAGAGTTAGAGAGAGGTGGTTGCTTGTGGTTTGCTGGCATGAGGTAGAGGAGGGGTGAGGGTTTTTAGACGTTGGGAGAGAGGTTGCCAGAGTTGATTGTTGTGGTGTTCAAAGTTGGGGGTGTTCAGTGGGTTGAGTTCATTGGTGATGAGAGAACTCGTCGGAGGTTAGCAAGGTTCTGGTTGGAGCGGGAGATGGAGAAGGGGCTATCTATTAGCAGGGTTTATGGGAAATCTGCAGAGCTCAATATCTCTTATTCACACTGTAATGGTCTCGTTGATGTGTCTCAGTGAGCCTAGCCGCAGTTTTTTTGCTGACTGAGATGTTGAGGTGCGAGGGAGTCATGTGAGAAGTTAAAAGGGTTAAACTTTTGTCTGACAACTCTAATCGATAGAAATTGTGTTGTACAACTTCTGGCCATGATATTTTGTCTCTTTCTCTCCAAACATATTTCTATTTCGAAGCTTGCTGGTACATCTTCTGGTCTTTTTTGTGCAAATGCCCAATATCTCATTTTTGTAGTCCATTTGTGCTTTGCAGTTTTGTATTTCTGGTGTGGATAATTATTTCATTTGTTGAAATGCATATTATTTTGAAAGATGCTCAAACCTTTACTTAATTCTTTATCACTGCTTATTGGACAAGTTTTGATTTTCTCATGGAGCCTTGCTTTGTAACTTTGTGCTTTTTATTTAGATAGCTATCTATTGCATTGTAATTCTGGTGTTGCGAGTTTAATTCGGGCTGCTTATTTACAGGCATAATTGGGTCAGTTTTGTCAAAGGAAGGGGGCTTATCAGATGCCACGAACTTCTTTTCTAGTGCTTTGAAGGTATTATTATTGTCAAGATTCCTTTTTAGAAAATATATAAATTCTATGAGGCAAAGCCTGCTTTGCTACTAATGAATATATTTAACATGCAATGTACTTATGTACATCAAATTATGCTTTTATGATGATTCATTTGTTTTACAGATTGTCACGAAGCATCTGCAGCAAGATAAAGATGGTTCTCGATCTACTCCCAAACCAAAGACTGACACTCTTCTAGCTCAGGTACAGAAAAGAAATGAAAATTTCCATAAAGTCTTATTTTACATATATGTGGTAGACTTGTCACGGGTGTATTTCTTTTTTTTTTTTCTGTTAGTGTATTAGATTGATATAGTTCAAACACCTTGCTATATACAATGGAACCTTCTATGGCTAAACTCCTTAATATAGAATTTACATAATTTCATCGCACTTTCTAACTGTATTAAATCAATTCACTTGCTGTTTGAATTAAGTAATGATGAGATCGCCAATATTTCTTGCATAAGTCTAATCCTTAGTTCATACAAAGTGACATTAATATTCATCCAAACTTTAATCATATATTAGTTTGATAAATATGCATATTGTATGTTTTATGCGTAAATAGACATGCATATCCATTTACTTGTTGATAAAAAAAAAGATTCACCGATTTATGAATTGATGCATAAATTTGCACTAATATCATAGCTGCACATGTAAACTTGATCAAGAAATTAACGTCTTATATTTACCCACACTAAAAGTAACTTATTCCTTATAATTTTTAAAAAAACTTTCTAGATGTATTTTATACATGCTAACAAATTTTCATTTGATTTGAGTACTACTGCACTATGAAAATTTATGATTCATCTACCTTGCTATATAGGCCATATGTTAGGTTGCCACTTTGATATGCTTGACGCATGATGAAATCATATTGAAATTTCATGAAACTTGATATCATACTTATTTACATGATGAAGTTTAAGGAGAAAGATCTTGATTTGCCAGTTGGATCTTGCATTTTTTAAAAATACGGGAACATAAAGTTGAGTGAAAAATGTCTCTTTTATTCTAAAAGGATAGTTGTTTATCCATGTATCAAGTAATTTTAGGAATAAAAGGAGAGATCAATTGTGTTCTTATCCTATAATTCTATTTCCTAATTTTTAGAAAAGAATTATTCTCTTATGATTTTGTTTCTCAAATATTAGAAAATAATTAAGCTAGTTAGTTATTTCCCTTATTAGACATTTTTTTTGCATAGATATGTAGATGTAGTACTGGTTTTCAACAAGACAACAACATCAAGTCTTTTTCCCACTACGTGGGGTCGGCTACATGAATTCTTTTTCTCCATTGTGTCCGGTTAAGAGTCAATTCTCATTTAGATCTAATAAATAAATGTTATTTCTAATATTTTCTAACAAAGTCTTTTCAGGTCTACCTCTACCTTTCATAACATAGGTTAAATTTTTAATACTTTACAATCCTTGTATCCTTCTTGATGCTTATTGAATGCCTACTATAACAGTTAAAATTGTACTTGTAATCTTTTGTTTGACCGCAGGTTAGTAGTCTTCGAAAAGAACTGCAACTTTTGGCATCTTCCAGATCAGTTACAATAGTAACTAGTACCAGAACAGGTTGATACTCTTCCTGCTTATATTTCAGCATGAACTGAAAAAAAAAAATGAAGAATTGAAGTTTCACTAGTTTTGGTCGTCTATTTAGTGCATTGTCTCTAATGTTGACACAGAAATGTGCTTGTACTTTCTTATATTGCTGGATTTTTCCAGCTTTTTAGAGTCTGCAGATAGTCTTTGATCTCACTCAGAAGTTTGTAATAGTCTTACTGATTTACTTCTATGTCAAATTTTTTATTTATTTACACTGGTTTCTATTACTATTCATGTTAAATGTTGGAGTTCGTTTGGTTGGAACTCAAACAAGTGCAATTACTACTAATGATGATGAGAAGAAATGGCGAGTAGAAACAAGAGTAGCTATTTTTTTTTCTGGAAATTTTATTATTTATTGAAGGTTGAGGAGAGGTGAAAGTATGTCCAGAACATATGGAGAGACTTTCTGGGCCGTGTTGAAATTTACCGGCTTGATTATTTTTGACTAGTTTGAATTTTCATATCTGCTTTTTTTGTTACTTTATATGAAATCAGTTCGGATTAAGTAGTGAATTTTCATACTCTCTAGCGCGTTATCTAGCTAATCTTAATAGTTTACAGAGGGAATTTCTCACACATTCCGCGCAAAAAGTGAATTATGGAGTCCAAAGTTTTCTTAGTTAGCCTTTCTTGCTAAATTTATTAATTTCACATATTATTGGCACTTGTTTGTGTAATACAAATCTAGCCACTCCTGTGTGAACAAGTTTTGTAAGAATGTATGTGTGGCAATTTCAAAGTTATAAGAAAATGTTATCTTCACATCTTTCCTACAAATCGAGTATGCAAGACTCTAAAATTTTGAATGCATTGGAGTATTCTAACTCAATATTTTGAATACATATGATAGGCATTTATGCCAAAATGCTAATCAAACCTCCCAAACTAAAATGGTTCATATTGGTTTTATCTAATATTTCTTAAAATGAATTTTCCAATAATATAGTGTTAAGATTGTTTCTTAGACTTTGTATTCCGTACAATTTCAGCAGGTTTTTTCATTGTTCTCTTAAGACAGCTTGCTTAAGCTGATAATTTTGCCCATAAAGATGAGTGTGCACAACCACTATAAAGCTGCTAGTTGATTTGAGAAACAAACTTCAGCAATCTATTTTAACATATAATTAACAAATTTGTCTTTTTTTTTCCTATACATGAGAAAACCTTTTTTTCTTGTACCAAAATGGTTCGTTTTTTAGGCACATCCAATCTTTTCTAGCTACAATTGATTTTTTTGCCTTTTAATTACAACAGTCTGAATTTCTGACTACAGGTTTCCCTGTTGTGGCTTACTATTGTTTTGCAGGTTCTCGTGCTTATGGGGTCACAATTGTCGTAGTTGTTGGGTGTTTGGGATATGGATATGCGTGGTGGAAGGTGACCTTCTCTCTCTCTAATAATAGTTTATCTGATCAAGACATTCGTCAAATTTATTAAAAATGGGTTCAATCTTTGATTTGATAGGCCCTAAAAATTTATCTCTCTTTTTAATCAGTCAGTCTTTTCCTCTCTTAATTTTCTTTTTCTTCATAAAAGAGCCATCAAATTCCATGCTAACTTGTTCATAATCCAACAATAAACAAAAATTGATTTTCTCCTACTCTTGATACCTTTTTGGGTTGGATAAATTTATTTTTAATATCAATATAAAACATACAAGGAATCAAGTGTCCTAGTTTCAGTTATGTCTATGTTAGGTCTCAAATATTTTATATTGCTAAGGAACTTTATTTTATGTCATTGCTGAAAATCATAACATTTCCTTTTAATCACTTTTCAATTTGATAGTTTCTTAACTCAATTAAAGAATTATATTGATATTGATGTTGCTTGGCCTGTGCAATCTTTGACGCAATTAACTGCTCACTAGTTATTCTTTCTATTTTGTTTTCTTATTCTACTATTTGTTGCGGAAATATTGATACTCAATTACTTATTATTAACTTTTTAGGGCTGGAAGCTTTCCGATATGATGTTTGCTTCAAGACGTGGTTTCTCTGATGCGTGTTCCTCTGTAGGAAAGCAGTTTGAGTTTGTTTCTTCGTCAATTACAGTATGTTTCATCAAAGCTCTGCTTTTTTATTATTTTTAAATGAATGGAATTCTTATAAAAGGGCTGAATTCTCTTTTCTCTTTTTCTTCCAATTAATAGGTTAGATTTCTGTACCTTAATAGTCTCTTAATGACAGTAGAATATATGTTGAATTTTTCTCCTTCTAGGAATGTAATATCTGTTCTCCGCCTAATTAAATTTTGATGTTAAGACATTCAAATGCAAAATTGAGTTCATTCATTCTCTTTAGCATCATTAAAACTTGTGGTATGCATGATTTCAAAGTTTAAAAGATTCTTTGACCATCAATATGATGCATCAAAGTTCTTATAATGTATGATTGCAATTGCATGCGAAGATAATTATGATTTCACTGTGTTTGCTTTTTAGTGACTTGGAGTTAAATACATTAGTTGTTGATCATAAGTAGATTGTGTTTGATGGTTTTAATTGGTGAAATACATGGGTAAAATTAAACTTTTAAGAGGGTGTTTGTGATGTGAAACCACTAGGAGTTACTTTTAGAAATTAGAAAGAAAAAGATTAAAGCTTTGCTCATTTAAATTTAAGGCTAGCACATGAAAGTGAGTTAAGAAATTGAAAAATTTAACTTGCTTGGCCCAAAGATATGCAATAGAGATTAACCAAAACATTTCTTTCAATCGTTCAAAGTGATTTAAATGCAAAGTACAATTAACAAAATTCAACGCTTAACAATGAGAGGTTCACCTCAAGGGCCGTCTCACTCAATTATTAGTAGTCTTTTAGCGGAGAAAGAAGACCCATACGATGAAAGATATTACCACTAGGGAGACGGCGCCGAAGAACTTCGTTGGTGGAAAGGTAGCCGGTGAGGAGGAAGGTGGTGGGTGGCCGACGACGATCCAATTGTAGTCGGGAAGTTGATGGGTGAGGATGTCCGCTAGAATAGGTACGATGCGATCCAAATAATCTCCAACGGTGGCGTCGTCTTCAAATCCCACATCGAAGAACGGAGATCGTAGGATGTTGAGCTTTCCATCGGCGTCGAATACAAGTCCCCTCTCAAATTCGGGATCCGTCATTCGACATTGAAGTGGAGAGGGGAAGGAGTCGTCTTCTTCTTCTCTAGACTTCCAAGCTCCCACGGGAGAGAATAGGGAGAAAGATGGTGGGAGAAGAGAGAGGTGGTGGCTTCGAATGGAGAGCAATTAGGTTTAGACCAAGAGAGCAATAGAACTTTAATCCAAATCCTGAAATTAATTTCAGGTTTTAAGTGGATTTGGAGGGAAATCCAAATTGAAATTAATTTCAAATTTCAAAGGAATTAAAGGGGAGTTAATGGGCAATTAGTGGGAGCCCATCCTTGGTGGCCAGCTGCATAGAGAGAGAAGGGAGTGATTGGGAGGGATTTAGGGAGTTTCCAAAGATGAATTATGGATTTGGAAAGTTATTATGAGATCCAATTTATTTTAAATTTAAATTGGGCTCATGAATAAAAACTTTTCTTAATAGGAATTCCTTTTTTTTTACTTTATTTTTTATTTTATGCCCCTTTATCTTAAAGTCCAAAACTACTAATCGATGTTGGGTACATAAACTTTCACTCGGAATAACTTTACAATCTTTGCAATCTAAACGGTTTAATTTTCTAATAAGAAAATAGTCAATCTGGGTTGTACTACATCCATTTTTATAAGTGATGAGATGCTCATTCCTTTTCTTAAATAAGGTATTAGCAATAATAATATTAAAAAATGGAAAAACTACAAATACTAAATAATACATCATGACATCGGGATCAAAAGTAGAGGCGCTGAATCGTGGCCGTCGATCTGCGATTCCGCCGTCGATAAACATGTCGGTAGCGTCTGTCGATGTCCTCATCAGTTTGTATGTTGTCCTTGTTTTTCTCACATGCTTGATGTTAGTTAAACTATTATAAATGATGAAACTTGATCCACAAATAATTTTCATGTTGATCAAATTAAAAGTGTGATATTGAGTTTGAAAAATGCATAAGATGGTAAATATAAAAATAAAATTCAGAGAAGAATGGTCATTTTTTTAGTTGTGATATGTTGAGACATGGGAAATTGTTGTATATAGCCAAATTTTTAACATTCTTTAAGCTTTTTACTCTTAATACAAAAACTTTCTGTCCAAAGGTTTTTATAGTATTTTTCGTATTTATTTGAAAGCTAGAAATGATGTTTGATTTAACTGCTAAAAAATTAACTGAAAAACATCAAATAAATTTACTTGAAAAACAGTAATTACACCTAACTATAATATATTATTGGATGCAAACTATTGGACTGGTTTAAATGTTATCAGGACCTACAAATAATTTTTGGATTGCAAATTATCACCAATTTTGTAGACAAGTTAGCATTTATGAAGACCCTTTGATTAATTTTCTTGTATTTTCTTTTTATTGTATCGTCTTTTTTTTTCAATTTATTTTCTAGTTGGAGTCTATCATAGGGTTATAAACAAGGGAATTTATGGCGAGGAACATGTTATTTGATGATGAATGAGAATTTATTTCACCCAACAGCTAAAATCTTTGTTCATCAATTGAGATATCAGCTACACTTGGTAATGATGAGGGAACCTTTGGTCCAACTACGATGGGATACTAGTTTGTGTGACTAAAGAAAATTTACCCCTTCTTATCATGATCTTTTTTCTCAGACTATATTTTATCAAATTTGGTATAAGAACAAGTTGTTGCTTTGGAAAAAGCCACACCTGCTTCTAGCTTTCTTTATGCGATTCTAAAATAGCGTTAGGTGGAGGATTTTGTGTTAATTGGTCTAATAATACTAGATGCCCCATTGCTTCCTATTTATGCAAATAGGTTTTTCTTCATTTGCTTGTTTTAGTAGGGTGGCCATCTTAATCTCTAGTTTATGCTTTGTCAAGTTTGGTTTCTAGAGTTGTAAGTCTTTTATCATTATCAATTATGCTGTTAATTATATGCTCTTTAAATTGATTATTTTTTATTGGATATTCATCAAAATTATTTTGGATATGAACCGGGGTTAATGATATGATTGCAAATAATAATGACGTAGAATGCAAATACAATCTACATGATATTTAGACGATATGCAACCTAATTTATTTGAAATTGTTATTAGCAAATATCAATGAGAAATAATCAATTTTCTAATGTTATAAACATCGACTATATTTTATCAAATTTGGTATAAGAACAAGTTGTTGCTTTGGAAAAAGCCACACCTGCTTCTTGCTTTCTTTATGCGATTCTAAAATAGCGTTAGGTGGAGGATTTTGGGTTAATTGGTCTAATACTAGATGCCCCATTGCTTCCTATTTATGCAAATTGGTTTTTCTTCATTTGCTTGTTTTAGTAGGGCGGCCATCTTAATCTCTAGTTTTTGCTTTGTCAAGTTTGGTTTCTAGAGTTGTAAGTCTTTTATCATTATCAATTATGCTGTTAATTATATGCTCTTTAAATTGATTTTTTTTATTGAATATTCATCAAAATTATTTTGGATATGAACCGGGGTTAATGATATGATTGCAAATAATAATGACGGAGAATGCAAATACAATCTACATGATATTTAGACGATATACAACCTAATTTATTTGAAATTGTTATTAGCAATTATCAATGAGGAATAATCAGGAAAAGTTATATGATTTGTGACAAATATGCAATTTATCGTAATATTAACATAGATTCTACCTTATTGTAATAGAGTTGAGTGCTATAAACCGTGATTTCCTTGCAAGTAGAACATCTCTCTTATGTTGTGGAGACTGTAGAGATTGATGGGGGTGGCTGATGATGGATTTGAGTGTCAATCAATATAATCAGGGAGGATGATGAGGCGGCGCGGTATTGTTGATGGGTTGTGTCCAGTATGGAAGGAGTATGTTGGAGGAGGAGGTTGCGTGCAATTAAATCATGATCCACTGCCACAAAGTTAGATCACCGGTTGTTGTAGGCAAGAGGTATAGAGGATGTCGTGATAGCAAGCGGGGAGGAGATGTTTGGGTGGGGCATGTTGGGGATTAGGGTGATCACACATGCAAGACACAGTCATGTGATTAGGTCTCTAGTACTTGTATGCCCACATAACGGACATCTATGGCATGTTGGGGGTTAGGGTGATCACACATGCAAGACACAGTCTTGTGATTAGGTCTCTAGTACTTGTATGCCCACATAACGGACATCTATGGCACTTGGGCACAACATATAACTATATGTAGGAAATAATGCTTTTGAGGAATCGACAGGAGCGCACATGAATGTTGCAACAGTTCATGCAAATGTGAGGGATTTTTTATTTGATGATCCCATATACAAAAATTTAATGGACAAAGAGAAGAATAGAAAACTTCACACATAATTGGAGTTATTTGCACACAATTTTATCATAGGAAGCAGTTATTCTGCCATAAATAATTCTATGCATTCACTAATAATATATGTTCATCATCGAGCTCTGTTTAAAGAAATAGGGTTTACAAGGATAAGGGCACATATTTAAATACAATCTAATCTTATCTACCCCAAGAAATTTTAAGTTTAATCATATTCTAATTCAAAGAAGATAGCACCTAATAAAATAATAAAAATAAAATTCATCCATATACCTAAATAGGCCTAAAATGCTAAAAAATTGACCCATTAAGATATTTTTCTTATCTTGGCTTGACTTCTAGTAAATTTTGACACATTTTGGCTTTTCTGAACGTACTACATCATTTAGATATGTAGTTCTCAGATAAACTTGGCTTTGTGATATTGATGCTACTTATCTCTAGAAGAACATCTTGAGGAGAGCATATATTTCTTTTTTTATTTTTTATTTTTTAAGGAGAGCATATATTTCTAATCGTGTATCAGAAGTAAATTAGGTTATAGTAATAATAGCCAAAATATATTATTCTCTTACTAGCAAAAAAATTTGAATTAAATATAAGTCTTGAGATTTCTCACCTATCAGTAGATTGCCTTAACTTCGCTTGAGAATTCAATGAACATAAAGAAAATTAAATTGAATTGGTTGAGGTTCAAAATGATACTTAAAGCTAGAAGAATCTAAGTGCTGTTTGGTAATTCTTTTTAATTGCTTTATTTTAATCTGAAATATCCACGATTGATTTGTGCGGGAATGTGCTCAATGTTATCAATGCTCGGCTGAACAACTTATCCTTATCTATTAGAGTTGGAGTGCTTTTTTCTGATGCGAAATATTAGAAATTAACAACAGCATAATATCATCAAACTGGCCGAAACTTAGTGTTGAAACTCAAACCATAGCCAACTCATTGGAGACTCTTCTAGTAGAATGATTAGCATTGACGTGGGTCCCTTTTTTTTTTCTTATCACAATTTTCTTTTTTTTTTTCATCTATTTATATGTTAGAGTCCTAAGTAGGATACTTTTTAATGTGTTATATGCACATAGATGTTTCAGTAAAATTATTAAGTCATCACTTGTAACTGATTAGCTTATTGCTAGCTTATTATGCAAGTTAGATTATTGATTCTGTGTTTGCGTTCTACTTTATTTGAGTACTTATTTTCCACCAATTCTTGTCAAAATTTTCATTCTGCAAAGCATCATTTTTCTTTTGAGAATTGATCTGCTGATATAATTTTACTGGAGTTTTAAATGATTCTTGAGTTGCATTGTGCTTTATCTGGCACTTCTATCCCAGATCACCTTATTTTGATAGTTTTACAGTCTGCCAAGCGTCATTTATCTTCAAAGATTGACGTAGTTGATAATGGATTAGATGAGATGAAAGAACTTAATGCAGCCACCAAAAATGAGGTATGAGTCTTCTTTTTAACCGTTTGAATGCATTATGCCCCAAACATTTCTTTAATGAATGTTTTGCTTAAATTAACTCGTGGATTGATAGGTTATGCTATTGCATGGTGACACAAGTCTAGTTCATTTAGATGTTGAATCTGTTACTCGTGCTGTCAGGAATCTGGTGACTCCATAACTTGTCTCTGAATCTAATTTTTAAGAATATACGCTAATTATTGGTCTCTGATGCCACCAGGAGTCAAAGATGGATCTGATAGATGATGGCCAGGTATTGTTTATTGTCATATTCTTCACTAGTTGGTTTTTTGAAGCGAATTGTACGCAGCCTCTAGTTTCAACATTTCACGACACATATGACAAACTTTTGATGTTCCTTCCAGAATTTTGCAGGCAGGGGATTATATGCACTTTGTAAGTTGGCTGAAGGATGTCAGCTTAAAATGAATAAGAAAACTTTTCAGGTCTGAAAAGTTTTAACCATTTGTTTGATAAATTGCTCTATCGATTAGTATTTATGTGACTTAAAGTTCTGAGCTCATCATTGTTCTCTGCTTTGTTTTTGGAATTTGCTTTGTCAATGCTTTTAACATCACTGGCTTAATTAATTGATGGCTTTGAGTGAAAACTCTCGCAATCCTAATGGACTCTGTTCTCTGTATTGTTTTTTGGTCTGGGATCTGTTACTAATAATTTCTTGATTAAATCGGGTCACGCAAGCCTTAAGGGACTCACTCTCACACTCTCCCTTTGTCAAGTAGAGGAGAGTGTCTGATTAACTCTTTTTTAGATTTTGGTTGCTCGAGAGAATTAGAAGCTGCTTCCTAATTTTTGCATGAGGTAATTTTTTATTAGAGAAATTTTGAGAACATTCGAGGATAACATCCTTCAATTTGGCAAGGAGGATTCTGCACTTGATCACATGAAGACCAAGGGAAGGGCCATCATGACCTCGCCATGAAATGGAGGATTCTGCACAAGATGGTATAGAATGGGACCCATTTATGGTTTGTCTACTCTTGGCCTATCGGCTTAGTTATCTGACGCTCAATGTATATCTATAACTCTTTGATGTCACTGATATCAAGCTCCACATGTGGGTGTATTTCAGTGCTTATCAGGCGTTCCTTCCCATGGGTCAAGCATGAGATTGGCCATCGTTCTCATCACAATATCGACCTTTGTGGTCAGTTCTATGAACTGAGCTTGAGTCACAAACTTGATAAAAATTCAATTCTCGCTATTCATTCCTGTTGATGACTTTCTTCTTGTTGGTTTCAGAGATCACCTTATCATAGTCACCAGTTCCTACCTTTTTCAAAAAGTTATACTTTATTTTTGAAGGTAAATATGGTTGGAGAACAGAAGGTTATGCCAATTTGGGGATGGCCATCAGGATATCTTACCTGAATGGAGGAGCTTAGGATTAATTTTTTGACAAACTAGATTCTTCTTATGGCACCACCATCAGTTTTCTAGAGATGTAGGACAAAGGGAGGAGAGGAAAATCTTGTTACCTTCCTTGGAGGCTCTTCTCAGCCTAAATGTTGCCATCTTCTTCGCACCATACGTTTGTTACGAAGCAGCCTAAACCGGCCCAGTAGGGGCCAGTTCGGACTTACAGGAGGAAGAACACCATACGTTTGTTACAAAGCAGCCTAAAACGGCTCAGGAGGGGCAAGTTCGGACTTACAGGAGGCGGACTAAGCCGCCTCCTCTTAAACCCATTACTTAAGTGGGTGGGTCCCACCTCCTTGCGCAGCAACTAGAGAGAGGAGGGGGCGGTTCATGCAAGAGAGGAATTTGAAATAAAATTATATTAGGAAGCTTTTGATTAGGAAGGATGTATTTAAAGAGGACGAGAGGGTAGCGTTAGGGCATGCTTGTATTGTTTGTTCTTTGGCAGAGTTCCTTGGCATTTTAGGCTCTAGATCTTCAATCTAGAGATTGGGAGAGACGATCCTCCTCTCGAATTGAGGAATGGTATATTGCTTTGAGTTTTGCTTTGTTTTGTTTCCACTATTGCAATCTATAGTTTCTAGTTTGATTTGTCCAAGTTTCTTGTTTCTTCTCGCTGTTTTGACCCAATTATTGCTAGGGTTGCTTGCGAACTCAAGTAAATCCGTTAGGATTACTTGCGAACTCAACTATTTCCTATCAAATTGCCAAGGATGTGTCTGCAGTTATGCTGCACCATTTTTTTTTTTTAATTTTATCATAACTATTATAAAAATCACTGCACCATTGTTCTTTTACAGGAATTTTTGTTAACAATGGGAAAATAAAGAAGACTGAGGTAGGGAGCAAATTGAAGAGCAACTAGCATTTTTTTATTTTTTAGAAAGAGAGAACGAAAGCACGTGCAAACCGAAAGCATGCATTTTTGCATACTTTCTCTAAGCTTCTTAGGCATGTTTCTCGCTTAGCTGATGATTATCAATTACGCCTTCATTTTTTCTGGTTAGATTTGAGTTGATGAGTAAGCCGGAGTCTCACAAGAAAATTTTGGTGTTTATTTAAGCAAAGCTGAACCTAACCCAAAAAATATTTGGGTTGACGAGGACCCGATTATTTGGGTCTAATTTGTGTTAGGTTATCTAGCTAGGTCTGAAGTTGGCACCTTTATAATTACCTTTAAAATAACTTTAGAAAGTAACTAATGAACTATTTGGTCACCTCCAAAATGCTATTTAGCGATATGCTGAAAATATTTTTTGTTATTTTATGGATGCATATAATGTCCTAAATGAACACCCTGCAACAAAATTCTCCAAAACAACTGACAAAGTTTTGAATCAAAATAAATATATAGAATATTTGCCTCGACTAAGTAGTACATAAAACTAAGTTGTTGAAATTAATTCAAAATATGGTCTTCCAGGAGTCCGCTTCCAGTTCACGGCCAGCCATCGAGCAACCACAAACTTTGGGGGCCTCAAGAGTAAGCCTAGAGATCCATTTTATGTCACTTCACCCTGCATACATTGGCACACACAAATGATGAATTATTCTGTGCGAATGCCGAACACTGTCCAAAACCCAATGAAAATGTTTCATGTCACCCTTATTCAGTACCGCGGTTCGGTACTGGATGACATGGCTGCACCTGATTGACCTTTGGATGGTAAGCTATCTCCGGTCTCGGCACAGAATAATCTCTCACACACACTCTCTCTCTCTCTCTCTCTTTCTCTCTCTCTCACACACACACACACAGTATTTCCCCATGTAAATGGTCATCTTGCATCAATCTTCTCTTATGCAGACAAGCTCCCTGCCACCTTTATCCTTGGAATCACCGTCACCCTCTTCAACCGAGTCTCCTAAGGTTGGGATTCTGCATATGGATTGAATTTCTTTTGCTGAATGGCTCTAGTTGCTGGCTACAATACATCTAATTAGTAATTTACCTTTACTTTTCCAGGTTCTTCGCCCATCAATAACCATATCAGCTGGGGGCCTGAAGGTTAGAGCCTTCTACCAAACACAATCTTCCTGATTAATTTGAAATCTATCCATGCTTTCTCTTGTTTGCGGAGTTAATTTTTTTTTTCTGCGTGTTTCAGGAGCTACAGGAAGTGTCTAATCCTATACGGTTAGGGAACCCAAGAACTAGTCCAAGAATTCCTTCAAAGGCAGCAAATTCTCCTTCTGAACCAAACAGTGCAGCTTCCTCATCAGGCCGTTCTGTTTGGAAGCTACCTGGTATTACTGCTCTAACTAGAAGCTGGAGCAATGCAGGCTGATGCAGCTTCTAGCTTTATTAAGAATGATAACTTCTTCTTTTCTTTTATTTACTTAACCAATTTATAGTTCCTTCGAGGAAAGTTGCTCTAAAATTGTTATTATCATCTGAGCACAGTTTTTGTAAGTTGCAACCATATTCTATTCATGTATAGGGTATTACTGTTTGTGGGTCGAGTTGTTCACAAGCCAAGTTTGACTGAGCCAAAAATTTTTATTTACGTTCAGTTCCTTAAAAACATGAAGGGCTCACAGCGACCTATTCTTTTCTTTCTTTTAATGAAGACGCTGTTAGATTGTCTTGTTGTGATGCTGCAATATGTGCTGAATGTAAGCCCGAAATAATTAAAGCTGTTCTTTTTTTTAAACTTTATGCCTGAGGAATGGCATCATCATCTTCCAAGTTTATTCATATGTGCTGAAAATACAAATGGGCCGGTAAAGATTGGCAGAATATTATTTATTTTTTCTGAAAATGCAAATTTGCAGTGGATGTTCGGAGCATTTGTTCTCTGCGGACGCCGAATGTTGCTCAGAGACTAATCAAAATGTGCCATGTGCTCATTATCGCAGTTGAGTATTGCTCGGTACTGTTGTTCGGTATTATTGGTGTGGCGCATTTTGGTTGGTCACTGTACAATGTTCTGTATACGGTCTTCGCATAGAATAATTTCTCTGATGTTATGCGGGATTAATGGAATTAAAAATTAACAATAAAATTGTCTCAGTAAGTGGGGTTGGCTTTATGAATTTTTTTGTTGTGTTCTATTAAGAGTTGAATTCTCATTTAAATTTAATAAATTCAGAAAATCAAAAAATAATTTCAAATTGCTGGTCTTTTTTTTTTTTTTCTTATTTGGCTGTGCCTCACTTGTTTGGTTGCCTACCGTTTGGGATTTTGTTTTGCATATTGTTGGGTGTTCTCTAGGTAATGTAAATATGAGATAGTTACATTGTCATTAAGAGGACTAAGATTATTTAGAAAATATAAATATGTTTTAATCAATAAAATTTCTCTAAATATCAGTTAAAAATAAGAGAAAATTACATTTTTTCACGTAAGTGCTCAAGAATGACAAATAAAAATATTTTTCACTCATTTTTTCTAAATTAGATGAATTTTTGTTTTCTTTTCGTTTTCAGGAACTAAGAAAATAAACTTGACTCTAAATAAGCTCATCAAATCAAATATCAGAGTTAGAAATTTAATGAGATTAATTTAAGAAAAAATTTAGTTGAATATTAAATGATAATAATTTTAATGAGTTTTTCAATGAGTTCAAGATTACTCAATTTAATATTATTACAACATTTAAATATTTAAATGAATATTTAAAATTGAATGAGTTCAAGATTACTCAATTTAATGTTATTACAACATTTAAATATTTAAATGAATATTTAAAATTGAGGGATCATTATTGGCGGCGTTTTGAGAATTTTGACTAGTTATTAAAATGTCATTTTTAAAATAATAAATAAGTTTTAATTCATCACATGAGAGGACCCTACGCTGGATTTGGAGCTAGTTTTTATTTTAAAAATTCAACTTTCAAGATAATTTTACTGTTAGTAGAATGTGTCAACTGTCAAATCGGGTGTGAATATCAAAATAAATAATGGGAAATTTTTTATCTCATATTTGGGTTTTGTTCCAGACGATTTTTTATTATTTTCTAAAACAATTTTTAATATAAAAATTTTAATTTGTATATTTAAAATTATTTTAAATAATAAAAAAGTCGTGCCAAATGAAACCTTAGAGTTTGATTTGATTGGGACAATTAAAAATTTTTATAGGATAATTATGAAATGGTTATGAAAAATAACTTTTCAAAAAATTACTATAAATAATATAAATATGTACTTTTATTTTAAAAAAAATTGGATAGTTATTTTCTTTCGGCTATGGCACAATAATAAACCTAAAAGTAAAAAATGGCTCTTCGCTATAAATTTTTTTTTGAAAATGATAAAAAAATAATGATAAAATTGACGTATGTTTACGATACGAAAAATGAAATAAATTACACAAATAAACTCTGAACAAATTTTTATTTGTAAAATGTATTATTTAACAAGTATATTTGCGATTCAGCGATCAAGACTACCTTGTTAAATAAGCTGTTTGGTTTGCATTTTATAGATCATAAAAATTATAATTAATATTAATTTGGCCAGAAAGAAAATTATATGAGATCGACTATATTGGTATCAATAATATAATATAGTATAGTGTTCAAGTTTCCACAAGATCCGAGTGAATCAGTTTTGTTGGCCCTCTCAATCATTCCTGTAACGACACTTTTGCCCAAGTGCCTAGGCAGATCTTGTTAAACAAGGTATCCATGAGTGCTCTTTGGACTGATCAACAAATCTTCAATAACCTTTTCTGCTACTATTTTTTATCAGAGGACAATAATACCGAAAAGATGATTGACAAGGTTGACAGGCATGATGATCGCTTACATAGAGGCAAATAAGTGAAAATTTTTGGGAGAAAAGAAAGTAGGTGATTATTAATTAAGAGAAATTATTCTGTGCTGTCACTGGACGGCAAAAATCATTCGAAAAAAGTAGCAAATATGCATTCATAATCAATAAAAGGACAGCAAATCTTGATGGTTCCCATCTTTAGTTGTGCTTGTGCTGTGCTTCTGTAAATACTCAGTAAAAGAGTATCAAATATGCATTCATAATTGCATATTTGCTGCACTTTTGCTGAATATTTGCAAAAATGTAATAAAAGGACAGCAAATCTTGACGGTTCTCATATTCCGGTCTCCGCACAGAATAATTTCTCGGTTATTAAAGAAGGAAAGTGTCCACCACATTCATTAATTTATTCTATCTTGATTAAATGACAAATTTATATATGTTCTTGAAAATTTTAAAATTTTTAGATGTTAAATTTTAAATTTAAATATTAAATCTTTAAATTTTAAATCAAGAGATTTAACATCTTCTTGAGCTCTTATTTAAGCTCTTGTAATTGAACCTTTGGCTTCATATTTATGCTCAAATTGATGGCGTACATTAGTTAAGAAAATCCAAATTTATATGAAGATTATATGATAATGAGTCTTTTTCTTTATTAAAGGTGCTCTAATTCCTATGGCTCTCTTAGCATATTCTTGAGCTTTCTTATTTAAGCTCTTATAATTGAATCTTTGGCTTCATATTTTTGATCCAATTAATGTCCTACATTACTTGAGAAAATTCAAATTCATTTGAAGATTATATGATAATGAGTTTTTTTTTTTTCCTTATTAGAAGTTCTTTAGCTCAAGTGCTTTACAATGCTAAAAAATCTCCTATGAAATCACTAAAATCTTTATCTTCTTGTTCTTCATATCATTGTATGCTATTTTTGGTTTGAATGGAATATCATAACTTTTACGGGAAGCAACACTAAGGCTTCATTTGAGATGATTTTCTTGTTGCATCTTAAAATCATTTTTTAGTACAAAAATTTTAATTTTTATATTAAAAAGGTGCTTTAAGAAATAATAAATAAGCCGTCCCAAATGAAGCCTAAATTAAGAATTCTGATAGCTAAAATTCATTTTTAATTTGACTTAAAAAGTAGAAAATGATCATTAAACGATTAGCCCCCGCATTAATTTTTATTTCTCAATAACTAAATCAAACCCAATTATTTTTTTTTTCCATTTCCAAAATTTTCACTTAAGAAATTTCACCTCTTATCTCTACTAATATCAATTTATCTTTATAGAACTACAATCTTTATACAATATAAATATTAAATTTTTTTACCCACACATTTGTAGCAATCAATAAAAAACAATACAATACAGCAATGACCAATGCAAGCTGATTCCTGTCTTCAACTGGCAATTATCCCAACATTTGAATTTAATTTTTTCTTTAAAACAATAAATCACAAATATCTAAAAAAATAATAATTTTTATTTTTTTGTAAAGCTATTTGCGACATATATTTTCACAACTTTTGGTAAAAAGTTTTTGTTAATCGCGAATTAATAACATACTATTTTGAGTAGGCGAGCACTGTGCATAAATAGGAAGTGAAGGGGTAACCTTTCGTTAGTTCGCAGCTTAGGTAATGGCAATCGAAGGGCCAAAAAGCAACAGCACGTTGCAACCCATGTGGCACTGTCAGGTAAAGTACTACATGCCATTAATTAATTTTATTTAAAATTTATTTTTTAAAAAATAAATCATAAATTATAAAATTCAAATCAAAAAAAAAAAAAAAAATCATATACACATAAATAAATCAAATTCAGAACACGCTTGAGAATTTTTACAAAAAAAATCATATACACATAAATAAATCAAATTCAGAACACGCTTGAGAATTTTTACAAAAAAAATCATATACACATAAATAAATCAAATTCAGAACACGCTTGAGAATTTTTACAAAAAAAATCATATACACATAAATAAATCAAATTCAGAACACGCTTGAGAATTTTTACAAAAAAAATCATATACACATAAATAAATCAAATTCAGAACACGCTTGAGAATTTTTACATGAAAATTTCAGAAAACAAAAAATCGTGGTGCTTGATTAAGTTACTTTCAAGTATTCCAAAAAAATTCATATACATATAAATAAAGTTTATTTTATTTCATCAAAATAAATCTACACTACAGTACATAGTTACATGTGAATGCTACAGACCCAAAAAAATAAACTAGTCATGATTGCACAAAAATTAAAATAACAAAATACCTAGCAATTCATATCTGATCTTGAACTGCTAATTGACAATGTCATTCTCTTTCCCAGACCCTGAAAAACTACAAGCAAACCACAATGAGTTACAGCAGCTCGATCAGCAGGCCACACAACTGATCTGAATTTTTAAAGTCTTTTATTAAATATTTTTATTGAATGTTTAATATTTAATTAAAAGTAGTTAAATGCAATCTAATACATTATTATTTGTTCTGAGAAAGGAACAAAAAATATAGCAGTTATTTAATTTATTTAAATAACAATGTTGAATAGATATATCATAGACTAATTTATATCACAATGCAGTTCATGTCATATAACCCGGTACAAGACAAAATCTCAAAGGATTCTGATGAGATTCTGGCCTTTATGTCTTTCTTTTGTGCTTATAGCATCATAACATGCCCGTAGGCAATAGAACATGGCTTATAACCACCAAAACATGCCTTATAGGCACCAGAATAATCTCTGACACAACTAGAATCTTAAAAGATTTTAGCCCTTTATAACTTTTAACATATATTTTTCAATCATATAAGCATACATTTCATCACACACACACACACACACATGTCAAATTACCTAGCATTAAGTTTATAAAAAATATTCAATATATTCAT